GTTACTTTGGATGAGAAATTATGTTTTCCAACATATTGTAATGAATTAACAAAATGTTTTAACAAAATTTTTATTGTTAACAATTGTCAACAAATCTCTTAATTTTTTTAACCTTCTTTAATTTTCCCCTATTCTGCTTGTTTCTATTTTCTAAGTATTGGTAAAAGCAGGACATCTAGATGCTACAATGTTTTCTATATGGAGCCCAGAGTTTATGACCTGGGAAAAACTGTCCAATCATGTTGCAGTGATGTCATAACTCAGATATCAAAGGAAGTACAGGAGGCTCTTTTATTAGCAGCTAAAGTTAGCATGACGCTACATACGTTTAAATTCAGTTCAGTTTATAGCACCAAATTCACAACACGTCACCTCAAGGCACTTTACAGTTCACCAGCAGCCACTCGTTGACTCTTCAGCAATCCCTCACACTAAGCATGCTTGTAGCGACAGTGGAGAGGAAAAACTCCCTTTGAACAGGAACGTCCAGCATTTAGCTCTGCAGTCTGAATATTTGCATGAATGCTAATCACTTGGTATTTCCAAGCTTTAAGATCAGCTGATTAACCCTAAATCTGATCTAATAGATGATGATCTATACACAAATTAGCAAATTTACAACATTCCAGACCAAAACGGTCATCTTAAAATAAATTTAGCCATTTTTTTTTTTTTTTGTACTACAGTGGAAAATAGTTTCAGTCAACAGATCTGGTATTCTTCATTTTACTGCCCTTTTGTTTTAAGATAAAAGTTTAACTTTTAATTTGCTTTAATGGCTTTTGAGGAAATTAAATAAGTAATTTTTAAAAATCTGCATAATAATACATTAAAACTAAAGGAGATATTTCTGGATTGAATTCAGTGTCTGATACAGAAATGTAGGAAAAAATACAAATGATTCATGTTTTTACTCTTCCAGGTCAGTTCGACCCCATCAATCCTCCAAGCTACGGTATTTATTTATTTATTGTTTAATGTTTTGAAGTTCTGACTTTATTTATATATATATTTTTTAAGAAATAAAATCCCATTAAAGTAAATAAATTCTATCTAGTTGGTTCAGTGTTGGGAATTTAGCATATTTTTTCATATGACGGGAAGTTTAATGTGAAAATGTCATTTTTTTCTCTCGCAGATGTAACAGTGGGCGGGGCCACCAGCTCTCTGGTCGTCACGGCGACCCATCCGTTCACCGGGCAGCAGCCGGGCGACCTGAGCTTCGTTCCCGGGGACCGCATCACCGTCATCACCAAGACCGACTCCCAGTACGACTGGTGGGAAGGGAAACTGGACAACGGGAATGTTGGGATATTTCCCGCCAACTTTGTCACGTACTGACGTCGCCCCCTGGAGGTGGGATGGAGTGTTGGAGGAGCGAAAACTACAGGTTCTGAAGAAAAATGGAAGATTTCACTCTTAATGATGATCTTTTAAAAAAATTCATTCAGTAATTGACGGTTTTTATTCTCAGTCGTTCAGTATTTTGTCCGTACAGCAGAAACGTTTGTATAGTTTGTAGATCTGCGGGGATTTTAACCTTTTTTACCGGGTTTGGGTTTATTAGAATTTAAACACTTTGGAGCTAAAAACACTTTATTTTTTCAGGTTAATGAAGGTTTATTTTTAAACATTAGAAGTTAATATCTTCCGCTGCCTTTCATTAGTTCTAGATGTTATATTTCTACAAGTATTACAGCAGAGGGGGGGTTAGACTCACAGGGCACAGTGGTTTTAATTTTAACCTCAGTCATCTAGAATGAGAAATGTTTAGTTATTGGTGAAAGTTTTAGAGAGAATAGGATTTAAATAGTTATTTCTGTTACAGATTGTGCTGTTATGTTGGGTGTTGGTTTCTTGCCTGGAACATTGTTAATAAACTCAGTTTAAGGGTTAAAGATTAATGTTGCTGCTTCTTGTCTGATGAATGTTTCAGAAAGTTGGATCTGTTAGAATAAAGAAACAGAATCTGGGAAATTCAGGTTTATGGAAAATAACATTTATTGTTGCTGCATTCAAAGGAAACACGATGAGATTCACGTAAAAAGGAAAATGGACAAAATAAAGGCACAGTTTCTTTAGCTAAAGGGTTCGTTAGCACCTTGCAACCTTAGACCCAACCCCCCCTTTAATCCCCCTTCATAGCACAAAAAAAACCCCTCCCATCATCTATTTTACAGTGTTATGATCATCCTCAGTGAATTTACCTTAAAGTCGTCCTGCTTAATTTTGGTTTGGCAATGACTGATGAATAAAGACTAGTAGTCTCTGCTGGATGCTATCAGATGCTGGACGCCATGTTCCGTATGTAACTGTACGGTAAGGAGGCTCAGGACGGGGCCTTGAGGTACTCCAGTGCTGAGTGGAGGAGTGATGGGGTCCCAGTCTGTCAGAGTCTGTCTGCAGACCTGCGCCGTCGGGACCTTTTGTCGCAGACCTGCAAAATGTCATCTCCTGCACCGTCTTCAGGAATAGTGCAGCATGGGTTTGCTGCCAAATTAGAGTTTATGCAGTTAAACTGAGCAAAGGAGCAGTATAAATTATACGATAAGCAAAAAATCCTCCTGGGACATCCAACCTCCACCGTCTTTTATGAAATATCTTACAGACCTTTTCATCCAGCGCTCAGATGATTAAATTCTATGTAGCACATATCTATTACTCCAGATGGGAGTAAAATTGTGCATGTAAATAAGTTTTTCAGCATAACGCTTGGGTTTGAAAGGAAGCGAGCTTCACGGGGAGTTTATCATCGCAGCGCAGCTCTGCAGCCAGACTCCTCTCACGCAGGCAGAGGTCAGACATCTTTTCCTGCAGATGATGCCGTAACTACAGGAATTAAACCTCAGCTCCTCACAAATGCAGTAAATGTTTTTTTTTTTAACCAAAATACTAGAAAGAACACAAATCAAATCACGGCTCAAACTATAAACATGATTGAAATATCCTGATGCGCCCACTTTATATTTTGACCAGTTGGGGGCGCAGTTCCACCAGTTTAGTTGTTTCCGTAGCGTTCAGGTCTCCATGAGTCCGGACCCGACCGTGTTTAGGAATGAGGTTCTGTCAGTGGAACCGGATCCGGGCTGCAGACGAACCAGCAGACTGTTTTAGATCCGTTCATTTCAGCGATAAACAAACACCAAGTCTGCTGTTTCCTCAGAAGAACCCAACCGTCTGAGCTGTAGAGGTTCCTGCAGTCTGAGGTAGAATCCAACGCAGACCATCGTTCTCCTCGTTAAAGGAACGGTGCGTCTGGTGTCTGGACGTCGACCTTCTCTGGTGGAGGAATCTCTGTGGTCTTGGTTTTCCTGACAACAATCAGAAGAGAACAGGCTGTCAGTAACAGTCGGTCACCGTTTGCCCTTTGACCTGGAGCTGTTGTCACCGTGGCCTCCAGAGGGCGCTGAAGCTGGCCGCTTGGTTCTTGGGCTGCCTGTTGCAGTCCTCCAATGAGTCGGGAAGCGGCACCCCGCTGGTTTCTGGGAGCAGGAGGCACAGGCCGCAGCCTACGATTGGTCCGCTGCTGTACACCACCATCGCAGCCAATGAGATGGCGCCGGTGGGGCTGGGCGGGACGAAGGTGGTGACCAGACAACCGAGGCGGTACGACAGGTTGACCAGAGATAAGCAGCGCTGTCTGGGGGCAGGAAGAGGAGGACGTTGGTGTCCCTTTACCCATCGGTTTATGACACTCAGCAGGATTTTAAACATTTTTCAGTCATTCTAGTTTAAAACATAAACACCCTGAAGCCAAGTGGCTTTCAGATCTA